TTTCACCTTGGCTCTCACCATGCTCTTTCCGTTCTTGCTCTCGTTTCGTCTGTCTGTAATGCTCGTCGCTTCTGTCAAACAACGGGGCATGGTGACCCACTTTGGTGAACCGACATCTAGTGACGGCCATGCAACGCGCCCTCGCGTGGCGAAAATTTCAAACTTTCAACTTTCAACCACGACTTTTGCGAATCAGCTTATGTCATGTCAAATTGTGTCGTGTCATGTACAAGAAATCGATGATAACGTATTTACCCATTTGAACTCTATGCAAATAACGTTTATACGTTGACACAAACAACTTTCAATTATTATACCCCTCCGAAGGAAGTTTGTCGGTAGAGAAAGGCTGTTAAGGGGGAAAACGATGCGTTGGGACAGCGGCAATGGTATACCATTACTTTGTAACACTTTGTCGACGCCGAATAATCAAGGTCACGCCGACCATATATTACATGTAGTAAGTTTAAATCGACGACGCCGAATATAAGTCCCGGGCAATACTTCGAGGCTTTTTAATGCCATGATGTGTAAAACAGTTGTTTTGTCAAAAAGTTCTTTCCGAAACGAAATGCGGTAATGAGGTGAGGTCACATCTCCCACCAAAGAGTAGATCTAAGGTGGTATGAAACGCTGGGACTCCCCATTTGTGGTCCAATTTCGTTCAGTCCGATGAATTCAGAACTTTTGATTTTACACCGGCAAGTTTACTGAGAAGTATTTCAGGAATCGTCATGTTGTAAGATGTTTGAATTCTTCTCAGTATTGTATATCAGTATGATAGGATAAACCTAATAAAGACAAACAAAAGTTCTTGGTTCGTAATAGACGATTGTCAGAAAAGGAACTCCCTAAATTTGATTCTACACAAATTGGCACAGAAAGAACCAGTCTTTCCTCTCAAAATAAATACACTTTTCCGTACAACGAGTGTCAAATCCCCTACCCCCAAAAAGGGGGAGGAAGGGAAGTCAAACGGCCCGTAGTCCTGAGGGACGGGGCTCCTCCGTGCAACGAACTTACCTATCAGTCCGAGACGACAATTCTAGCGTTGAGACTTTTTTTGTGTTTTTGCGTTGTGCTCAGGAATACTTAGTCCGTAACTGTTCTTCGGTTTGTCTCTACCTGCGACTTTGGCTCAAATCGTTGAGAGACATAAACATAAACGACAATCCCTCCTTGTCCGACTTGTTAGTTTGAATCAAAAAACGTATTGAACGACGTACAGGGACAAGAGGGACACGTTTAGAGACCTTCCGCGACCTCGAGTCCGACCTCCTAGTTCCACGCTCATTCATTTTTTTCGTTTTCCTACAAAAGGCGAGTTGGTGACCCGTGTACGGTGGCCCTATAGGTTAAGGGTGTCTCCAGAAAGGTCCGCGGCGTGGCGGTCAGGACGTACCTGTTTGTTGTAAACACGAAAAAACGACATTATAATCTATGAAAAGTCCGATGTATTGTGGTGTTTTATTTATCTAAACGCCATACAGATGTTAGTAAATCATACTTAGAGTAGACTAAAACGTCAGTAATTAAGTACAACGACTGTATTAATATTTCATCCTGGACTTCATAAATCCGTAAATGTTGACAAGTTATTAAGGTCGTGTGTTTCGCGAAGGGTTGCTGAACGTGTGCAATGAATCCAATGATTTAGGTTTAGTATTACTACATGTTTTGATTTTGGGTGATGTGTGATAACGGACAAAGCTTCACCCATTTATTTGTAAAATTTGACAATGTAGATATGTTTTACGGTAATTTTGTTAGTATATAAATCATAATAGTTTTTCTGGTTCGTTGGTGTATTTGTTAATAAATGATAGACGTTTAATCATGTGTTGTTATGAAGAGGAACAACAAGACGGTCCCTGTGGCATTTGTATTCCACTAAGTCGTAAGGTACGGACGGTACTACTCATTGGATTCCCTTATTTCGTGCTCGACAAGAAAGTGAGATTGACCAAACTTTTCCCTCCCTAATAAGTTTGGTCCGGCTATCAACTTTCGACGGTGTGTCTCACATACCGAACAGCGCAGACCCCGTTTTCCAACCCAACCATTACATGGGGAAGCATTGGTGAAAACGGAACCCCTGGAACTAAACTTAGGTCTTTGGTTTGAAATAAAAACGCCCAATCTGGTCGTTAGGGCGGGATGTGAAAATTCTGAACATTGCCAACGGTATGAAGTTCTTAGGAGCTACCTGTCTCACTCTTTTCCGGCCTCCAGCTTTTCCTGCTGGAACCCGCCGCTTAAAGGTGGGGGTCCGCGGACCGGCCATAGAGCCCATAGAGTTAAAGGTGGTGGCCGTTAGCTGTAAAAATCCATAGATTTAGGAGGTCCCCTAGTGGCCGTTAGCTGTAAAAATCCATAGATTAGCCGCACCGTTATATAAGCCGCAGCGTCGAAAAATGGGAAAAAAGGCGCGGCTTATAGTCCGAAAATTACGGTAATAGGGTTTGTTTGACTATTATCTGACACTGTAATATTATCTGTACCGGCAGATGACACCAGAGAGAACTACAGAGATGCTGTGTGCAGAGTGATGAGACAGCTGCTGAGTACGTGTTCCCTCAGTTACTCTCCCTGCAGCCACATCTCTCACCAGGCTGTAGTCTCATTGGGTTTAAAAGACAAACTCACAATAAACTTCAAACTCTTTTTGCAGATTACATCCTGGAGCACTCTGAAGACGACACCAAGTCTCTTTTCTCCATCATCAAGGTAGACACACAGTAGCATATTAGTCTGTATACTCCTATGTGTTTGTGCTGAAGAATGTATCTAGATCAGAGGTCAGGCTATACGGCACATTTTCCCTGTTGTACTTTGCCGGACCCTACCAGCATTTATATATTTGGGTTGAAAGCCAAACTCGCGTGATTTCAGGCCACAGTGCAGCGTGTGCTGGAGGTATGACACACTGCGTGGGACATTGTGTAGGCAGAGGTTATCCCTGAATTGACTTTAATCACGTTTGCCGCCTTGAATCACTCAATACTCCTCACAGGCTATTGCCAGGAGCTTTGTATTGATCCTATCGCCCAACTCTTCTCAATATTTCTGTCTGTGATACCTTTCAGATCATCAGCGACCTGTTGCAATTCAAAGGTTCTCACAAACATGAGTTTGACTCCCGCTGGAAGAGCTTCAACCTTGTGAAGAAATCAATGGAAAACAGAGTGAGAAACCTAACATTTTACTGTATTTCTGTTACTTTTATACTGCTGTTATCCTTTTGGTCATTTATCAAAGTGTATAATGCCCTTTTTAGATTGTACTGTATTGCAGTTTCTCTATTTATGTTTGTAAAAATCTAAAATGCCTCACCGTTGTATTTTCAGCTTCACGGCAGAAAGCAGCACATCAGAGCTCTGCTAATAGACAGAGTTATGCTCCAGCATGAGGTAAGTCTTTCCCAGAGAAATGACCTTATTGGGTATCCTTGTATATTGTTAGTATTTATAACTTAGAATCTTTGCGTTTTACCAGCTGCGGAAGCTGACAGTGGAAGGATGTCAGTACAGGAGCATTCACCGGGAGCTGATGAGAGATCTGTTGAGGCTGTCCACAAGCACGTACAGCCAAGTGAGTGACACTCAACAGTAATGCATTGTGCATTAGTTTATTTACATTTCAGCAATTACACATCATACATCACAAAGACATTTGATAGTGTACAATAATCTAACTGAGACTTTCCTTTATCACCTTCCAGGTACGCACCAGGGCTCAAAATGTGTTGTTCACGGCACTGGGGACCTACAATTTCTGCTGCAGAGATCTGATCCCCCATGTCCTGGAGTTTCTGAACCCGGACACCAGCAGTGTCTCACAGCAGCAGTTCAAAGTACGGCAGTCCTTTTCTGTGTTGTGCTATACAACAAACAAACTCAAACATTTTTACACTTTTGAGTTTTCGCTCCTAAACATGCTCCACATCTGTACCTCTCCAGGGTGCCTTGTACTGTTTCCTGGGGAACCACGGTGGAGTGTGCCTGGCCAATTTGCACGACTGGGACTGCATTGCTCTGACGTGGCCCGCCATCGTGCGCTCTGGCCTCAGCTCAGCCATGTCTCTGGAGAAACCCTCCATTGTGCGGCTCTTTGATGACCTTGCAGACAAAATCCATCGCCAGTACGAGACCATCGGCATCGACTTTGCTGTAAGTCCATCACAGAGAAGACTTTCACAAATGGAACATAGAATCAAAGGCAATGCTGATCTCTGCCTACCTGTTATAGTAGAAGCTCAATATATCAAATACACATGCCCCACAATTGTAGGATAGATCTAAATGATATATCAGAGTATTTTATTTTGTGATTCAAAATATGTGGTGAAGTTTGATTGGTTCCAACATTTGTTGGACAACAATGTTGTTTTCAGTACTGAGGTGGACATTTCAACCGACATTGGACATACAAATCAGTACATGAAAAAGAAAGAAAATAAGTTAAAGTCTTATATAATAAACCAAATAAAGAAAAGCTCTACTGTCAGTCTCTTAATTAGATGTTCTTAATACAGTTGTTTTAATTCCTGTCTCCAGCAGCTAAGTTAAAGCAAAGCTGCAAAAAAACACGGTCATAAAGAGGGGCATTTATGGCTCTCTTCAGCTAGTTTGTCTTCTTCTTTAAACAAATCTTTTCAAAACGAGCTTTCAATTATAATATCTCAATAACCTTTACGACTAGAATGTCATAATCTTCATTCGTGTCAAAGGTTGCAACGTTCATTTTGAGTTTGTAAACAGGAAAAAATGTATCTGTAGTTTTACATAATACATTTCAGTATTCTTTCTCCCATAGAGCCATTCCCAAAACATATTTTAAAATAGGATTTATTTTTCCATTACACTCTAAACATACATATCAGTCCCTCCTGTAAGGGCTTGCTTTGAGTTTGATTCACTCTGACATGTTTGAGCAAAGCATGTCTGATACTATATGTTTCATCTTTCGCATTCCTTTAGATTGAGGGCGAGTGCTCTACTGTGGCCAAACGACTCATGATCACTGGGAATCCTCTTCCCAAGGAGCCTGTTCCGTCAGAGGAGGAAGTAGCAGAGGGTGTGAAAAAGCAGGGGCTCAAGAACGCAGAATGTGTTCAGTAAGTTCATCGGTACTCAAGACAAAGACCAGATATCTATAGCTGAATTCAAAGATGCTATTTCTCAAGTTCACAACATGCTCTTTTCTCCCTGGAGAATAGACCTTTTGAAAGTACTTACACAGCATTTGTTAAGATGATGTGCTCACTAATTGAATGTTAACATGATAGGCTCCATTACAGGGTTTAAGAACTAATGCTCTTCTACTTGTTTGTAGGAATTACCATCAGCTCATTGGAGATCTGCTGGAATTCCTCAACAACAGCAACATGTAGGTTCATTTAAAAGTGACTTCCTCAAATCATTTATGTATGCATTTATTGGCCTGTAGCAATGACTTTGTTTTAACATTCTAGGCCTTGGAAGTTCGAACACATTGCAATCGGCTTCATGTCATTGCTGCTGAGAGACGACCGCCTGCTCCCACCAGCTGCCGTCACGTTCTTCGTCAAAAGCCTCAACCATGACTCCCTCTATGTTCGAAAGGTGGGGCAAATGCGAAAATAATGAGAAGTGTATTATTGGTGTTGTGATTCTAATGCATATGGATGCAGTCCAGTGTTTCTTGTGGACATTTTGTCTGAAATATCTCCCGTTTTCCACTAGGTGGCGATATCCGCTGTGGCAGGGATCATGAAACAGATAAAGAGGCTGCATAAGAAAGTCCCCATCAGCCCCTCGGAGCTCTGTAAGAATCACAAGGGCTTGTTTGTCTGCAATTTTGTATCTCCATTCACACTGTATATATAGTTTAAAACTGGTCTCAAAAATAACCAATCTTTGTTAGGTGGAGGGAAGGAGCTGAGTTGTAATGTAGCAGGGGATCGTCAAGACAACAACTGGCTCCAGTATGACAGCAGCAGCCTGCCACGCACACAGAAGGACTGGGATGCCTGTGTGTTCGTGGAGAAAACACACTGGGGATATTACAGCTGGCCAAGGTTTTATATGTCTTATTTTCTTTACCTGACTTTCTTTTGCTGTCTCGAAGAATGTTGGATACTTTCTTTCATCTTGTTTTTATTCATCATCTCTTCAATATTGTTCTCTAGAAAACTGATGATATATGCCCCCCTGGAGGAGCAGCCCAAACAGAACCTGACCAGAGAGGAAATGACAGAGGTTTGTGCACAATCGCACTCCCTTTATGAAAAATATATAACGCACATAGTAATGTTAAATAATGTTAACCACATTTACTAAATTGAATGTGTCCCGACAGCGGGAACAGATCATCTTTGACCACTTCTCCGACCCAGTCTTCATCAATCAGTTCATCGAGTTCCTCTCCCTGGAGGAGCGTAAGGGAAAGGACAAGTTCAGCCCTCGCAGGTTCTGTCTCTTCAAGGTGAGATTCGCTGAGAGTAGTGTTAAACGGATTGAAGCAGATAAAGTTGGCCGGTAAGGAAATGAATCTGTTCCCTTCTCCCGCTCTCTCCAGGGATTGTTCCGCAATTTCGGAGACATCTTTCTTCCCCTGCTGCGGCCACACATGGAGCGCCTGGTGGCCGACTCCCACGAGAGCAAGCAGCGCTGTGTTGCAGAGATCATCTCCGGGCTGATCAGAGGCAGCAAGCACTGGAGCTATGCAAAGGTAGGGGAAAGGACATTCTCACAAAGTAAGCTGACTCAAACAGTTTGGGAAATTCCGACGATGCATTTAAAAAGTCATCGGAATTTGTAAACGTGAACAATTTAGCTGAAGTTCGCTTTTTGCACACATGTCTGCACAGCCCTCCACTTCAAAATAGAATTCACTGTAGTTTGCCATATACTCATTGTCCTAAGCTTTTAAGGTTATTGTATAGCTACATTTAAATTGGTGTTAATACTTGTCTTTAGCATCCTTTTTTAAATGCTAAATTGTTTCTTAAAATACTTATTTTTTATTATCCTTATATATTTCTTTTTTTACCTACTTTGCAACTTATGTTTTTATATTGTTTATGTTCGCACCACCAGACACCAAAGCAAATTCCTTGTATGTGTAAACGTACCTGGCAATAAACTTGATTCTGAATTTCAGGAGAATATGTAGTATTTTTAATGTATCCCGCCTTGTGAACTTTTACAGGTTGAGAAGCTTTGGGAGCTGTTGTGTCCGCTGCTCCGTACGGCCCTGTCCAACATCACCATAGAAACGTACGCAGACTGGGGAACCTGCATTGCCACAGCCTGTGTAAGCTTCTGCCCGTTTATATGCATCATTTCTTTAATCTTCCATTTGTTAAACTTTTGTCACTCATTCTTTCTTTTTATATGATTCTGTCTCGTATAGGAGAGTAGAGACCCACGCAAGCTCCACTGGCTGTTTGAGCTTCTGATGGAGTCTCCTGTCAACGGAGAGGGGGGCTCCTTCGTCGACGCCTGGTGAGTAGAGAGGGTGCAGCCTAAAGCACATGCTGCACATCATAGACTGTGTGCATTACATTAATGCACACAATGTAAACAATATCTTGTTTTTCATTACTACACATATTTTATACCAATTCTACTTCAACCATATTCAATGTAATTACTGCTTTATTTTATTATATTTTTGTAATGTTATTATAGTTTTCTTCAAATAGTTTCCTATCTGTTCTTAATTTGTTTTATTTTTATGTATGCACCACAACACCAAGTCAAATTCCTCTTATGTGTTAACCTTTAACCTACATGGCAATAAACCTGAATTTGATTCTGATGTTGATGTGAATGACAAAACTGTGCTTTCTTTTTCCTCTCCAGTCGTCTGTATGTGCTGCAGGGAGGCCTTGCTCAGCAGGAGTGGCGTGTTCCAGAGCTGCTCCACAGGTTGCTTCAATACCTGGAGCCCAAACTCACACAGGTGTACAAGAATGTACGGGAACGCATTGGCAGGTAAGGTCCTTTTTTTACATCCCTAGTGAATGTCATTAATGACTCTTAAAGCTTTTTGTGTCTCATCGTATCACTTCTGATTTGCTTTCCTTCCAGCGTGCTCACGTACATCTTCATGATCGATGTCAACTTGCCATGCACTCAGCCGACCACGTCCCCGCGCATCTCCGACTTCACAGAGCGGATTCTGCTGCAGCTGAAGCCTCTCACCGAGGGCGACGAGGAGATCCAGAACCACGTGGTGGAGGAGAACGAGGTGGGAGAGCAGGACGAGAGGACGCAAGCCATCAAGCTGCTCAAAACAGGTGGGTCGACGACCTTATCCCTGATTCTGAACCGTCACAGTGAGTAAATAAACATCTATTTTTGTTATAAACATGAGTGTTTAACATAAATATTCCTGTCTGCAGTGCTGAAGTGGCTGATAGCGAGTGCTGGTCGCTCCTTCTCCACCGCGGTCCAAGAACAGCTACGGTTGCTTCCCCTGCTCTTCAAGGTGAAACACTCATTAATTCAAAGCTTTGATCCTCTAGCTTTCTCCCTGCAAACTTTACATTTTCACTTTTAATGTATACCCCATACAGGGATCTTAAAAGACACCTGCCTTCCCGTTAACCTCTCTCTGTCCTCTGTACCAGATTGCTCCTGTCGAGAATGACGACAGTTACGATGAACTGAAGAGGGACGCAAAGACCTGTCTATCTCTGATGTCTCAGGGACTCCTTTACCCAGAGCAGATCCCCATGGTCCTCAGGGGCCTGCGGGAGGTGAGTCATCTGGCAGCTGAGGCTATTATTCACCTTTTTACCTGCATCACACATGACTGGGCTTTTTACAGAACCCCGCTTCGTATAACCTGTGAAGTTATTTTCGCAAAAAAAAGAGGAAAGGTTCTAAGGGAATGACAAATGAATGAGATTTTTAAGTTTGACTGCTAAACATGCATTCTTAAATTAATCGGTTACATAAGACATTATGTCAGTACAGTAGTTTGCACCTCTCTAAAGCATAATAGAGTTAATCTGAAAAAGGGTTAACATGAGGGGAGGATTCTACAGGGATTGTTGAATGTGCAATTGGCAACAACAACATAATCTAAGCTGTGCAGAGTCATGCTAAGGAAGTCGTATCAGTTCTAACCCGTTTGATATTCTATACATTTAAAAGTGGCACAAAAGAGGAGCTTTATTACCAAAGTGCTTTTTGGTTGGCTCCCCGGGGCTGGGGCTGGTCTGTTCCTCCAACAAAATGCTCAGAATATTTTCTTGATTTGGGATGGGTTTATTGTTGTGTTTCAGATTGCTGGCAGCAGCTCCTGGCACGCTCGCTACACGGTGCTCACATACCTCCAGATTATGGTGTTTTACAACCTGTTCACCTTCATGAATGACCAGCAGTCAGTGAATGAAGTCCGGGCGCTGGTGGTACGACTGCTGGAGGACGAGCAGCTGGAGGTAAAAACAACCATTCGTTCACAGCATTACAATCATAAAGTATGTAAGGCTGAAACATGCCGGCATAATCGTCACTGTAATGAACAAACACAAGGCAGTCTGGTTATATCATCTTCGTTTAGCTTTTGGCCAATACATGCGTGTTTATGCTAGCAGACGTTCTCACTGTCTTTCAGCTTCACTGTAGTGATTCAGCACTCTCCTCCTGGCCCCCCCTCCCCTCCAGTCCTCTAGCTGTTTCCATGGAAACCACAGGCTGCAGTAATCTGTTGCTATGGAGATAACGTTCAGATTGAAGGAGGATGAGAGGGAGAGGGATGGAGTAGAGACAAAGGAGGAGTGGGGGATGGATAGAAGTAGCCATTTTTATTTGGCCTCTTAAACTAACCTAAGCCAGGCGGATTTTATAGGCCCTTTACAAACCTTTATTAGACGTATCAAGACACTTGTTATGCATACAGGGACCCCTTATTACCAAGTAACAAATGGCACACGAAACCCTTATATTAAATAATGAAGAAAATACCTTCCTTTGTTAAAGGTCCAATGTCATGGCCATTTCTACTGATCATAATTCTAATTATGTCTACTATAATAGATTTACATTGTTCAATTTTCCAAACTCACATTGGTTTCTCATACAGCATCTCTGTATAGTTTGTGTATTCACTGAATTTCCCTCTCTGTCCCAAATGCCTTGTTGGAGCTGATGTCTGACTCCTCCTCCTGTTTATAATTTAAATAGATGAGCTTGTACTCAAAATGCAATGCAATATCTGTTTCCAGAAATCGTGACCCAGTTTGCTGTAGCACTCTAGTGACAAAAAACACTTCATAATTCATTCTTGCCTTTCTTTTGTAGGTAAGAGAAATGGCCGCCACTACTCTCAGCGGCTTCCTTCAGTGCAATTTCCTATCCATGGACGCCCCCATGCAGGCACATTTTGAGGCTCTCTGCAAGACCCGCTTGCCTAAGAAGAGGAAGAGGGAGCTCGGCTCTACAGTGGACACTATACCTTCTGCTGGTAAGGGGCTTCTCTAGAACATGTGATGATACACCCAATATGTCTTTTTCTGATATTAATGGAATCCCTCCTGTTGTGTTTTTGTAGACCTGATGCGGCGCCATGCAGGCGTTCTCGGGTTGAGTGCTTGTATTCTCTCCAGTCCATATGATGTGCCCACTTGGATGCCCCAGCTGTTGATGGACCTGAGTGCTCACCTCAATGACACACAACCCATTGAAGTAAGGGTTATTACCTATTTATCAATGTTTACTGTTTGAGTTGGGTTCTTTCTCAACCACATGTTTCCCACAATTGCATAGCTACTGTTGTCTGTGCAATGACTATGATTTACTCTGTTACAAGAAATAAAAACCATCTTTTTTTTTCAGATGACTGTGAAGAAAACTCTGTCAAACTTCCGACGGACTCACCATGACAACTGGCAACAACATAAGCAGCAGTTCACAGATGACCAGCTCCTGGTCCTGACTGACTTACTGGTCTCCCCCTGTTACTATGCCTAAAACCTGGTAAAGCATTTCAATCTCAAACTGTTCTTGAAGGATAAATACTATACACGCACATCCAAAAGAACCTGATTATTATTTGTCAATGATTAGTGAAAACAATGCTGCTTTAAGAATTATTTAATGAGCCTTGAGGATTTTTCTTTGAGCCAGTTTTTGAGTGTGTTTTTGATTCACTTCTATGTACAGATACCAGCCTGCATTGGGGAGGAGGCTCTAGTTCTTAACTGAAAGACACAGCATCACCCTGGAAGAAGAGTGGCACACAAAGCAACCGAGTTGTGGCACCCAGAAGGATTGACAAGTTGTGTATTCATGTATTTAGCTCCTTGACATTTCTACTATACTTAATATTTAAGGATCAATCATAGCAGGAATGAATGACCTGCAGTTTGTAACATTACTGTACAGTTTTATTTCCTCTTTTTTTGGTTTGTTTGTATGCATGTGCACGGGTGTATGTGTGTGTGTGTGCTTTTTTGTGGGATGCTTGAAGAGACATCTGCCAGTGTCCCATACATTTCTCAGGATTCTATCCCAAGTATCAACTCTGAGCCATCATGATGTCCAGTCAGACACACTCTTTACTATCTCCCAATAACGAGTGTTCATTTCAAGCCACCTGTCTGCAACACACAATGTTTGTGTGGCTGTTTGATCTATATGTGATTATATGCATAGTGCATATCATCGTATAGCAAATATGCACAAACATATTTATTTATTTATTTGACTTTTTTTGAAGTGCTAAGTTTTAATTTTTCATAGAAGGTATTTCTGAGATTGCAGAGCTTTTAGCAAAGGAGCCCATTGTCATCTACTCTTGCAAGAAAGGGAGAGGGCAAGCTCCCCACTGCTGTGCTGTGTGATGCGTTTGCTGTGAGAACTGTTTGATGACCATTTCATGTGTCTCGTTGCAAGAAAATAACCACACCGCCTGTCTGTAATCGTGACCTCTTCCCCTATTATCCCTCGCATCATTTACCTTTTTCTAAAAACCCACTGAGATGAGAGAAAATGTACTTGGTTTGCTTTTCCCTGATGACTTGAAATCAGTCCAAGCATTTAGTACCTCACTTATGTAGTGTAGTGCCAAAACTGCAGTGATATTTTTTTTCTTTTTTTAGATGTACTGTTTGCTTATTGAATGAGATGTTAATAAATTGTTTGTAAAAAAAAAAAAAAAAAATGCATCTGTTTTTTTTAAGGTCTCTCGCTTTATTTAATTTGTAGTAAATCAACAACTTAAAATGCATAATTTTACTTTTTCCTGGGGATTTTTTTAGAAAGCAATGGTTATTATAAAATCACACTAAGCAGCTTGCTTAATTATGTAACATTGGTAACTAATCTACATGAAACTGTGACCGCAATGTGGTGGTATTTCTTTGATTTTATTTACAGATAATTTATTTGAGTAAAGCAGACTTTAAATGCTTTAAATAATCAGAAAATCACCCCTGTGCGTGTCGCCTAGCAACGACGTTGTTAAACTGCTGTTCCAAAGGACAGCATGAAAAGCAAGAAAAAAAAATATTTTTCATTAGTTGCATTTATCGAATATATTCTGAACGACGTTATGAAACCTAAAATTAAACGTAACATGAAATATAAATTATATAGGGTTCACCATTTTTCCATAAAAGCCACAGTATGTTGAATGGGGGGAGACAAACCGTTTGCACCTAACGTGACAGGAATATGGTGTTCTCATTACAAATATTCCAACTTTGTATTAAATCTGTGGAAAACGCCATTTCTCTCTGTTTTTATAGATGGGGAGAAGTGGTGTGAGTTTTTCGTATGGACTTCTTGAATGCAGTGGTTATGCTCATGCCCAGATACGTAGGCAGTGACTTCATACTCATTTTTCAGTGCACGTCCAGTGGCCGTCGCTCCTGTATAAGAATGGATATATCGCCAAGAAAACGAAAAGGCTTTCTCCTTTTTTCGCCCTATACGCGATGAAAATCAACTGACATGTAAAGAAACGCATTTTCTTTCAGCGTTTTTCTATGGAGGTCTCTGTTTTGGACGGTTTGCTGGTTGAAATACATTTTTATCTTTCAAAGCCGTGGTGCGTTCACTTACTATCATAATGCTTTAAATTCAAGATGGGCTTTATGAAACCATTGATGGATGCACATTCGATCACAGACGGTAGGTTATAATATGTTCTCATTTTATAAATTATGTAAGCTATTTTACGGCTTGAAATCTAAATACATTAGGACAACACTGATATACACAGACTCTGTGTTTGTTGGGGGGAGATGGGGGGGGGAGTAAGGAATAATTGGCCGAATGCAGTGGTGCATAGTTATAGCCTACTGTAGCTTGTGTCTAACATGTAATGCATCGCAGTTTCTTATTAAATGTACCTTTTTACCTTTGATGGTAAGTTGCATTGATCCCTTTTATCAAACAAGAATGTATTAACGTGATCTACTGCACACAGCTAATATATTACTTTGTATCCTTTGTAGCACTCTACCAAGGTAGCAGCAATGGTGGAAGCAGAAGACACTGTGATCATCATTTACTCCTTCCATACAGAGGAATAATGCTGAAATTGATGACTGTGGGATCCTTATAAATTGTTAATAATACAATGAACACCACTGCTACACCATCAGACCTGGTGGATGTGCCGAGACAGCAGAGCTTCAATGGCACCCATGGCGCGTCAGGCTGGGCCGTGATCCACACTGCCACCCTGACCTTTTGCTCTCTTCTCCTCATTTTCATATTCTTTCTGGGCTCATATGGCAACCTTGTGGTATTCCTGTCCTTTTTTGATCCGGTGTTCCGCAAGTTTCGCACCAACTTTGACTTCATGATCCTCAACCTTTCTTTCTGTGACTTGTTCATCTGCTGTGTGACTGCCCCCATGTTTGCACTGGTGCTCTTCCTGGATGCGGGTGGGGGGGACGGTGTGTCAAAGAGTTTCTGCTTCGCCTTCCACCTGACCAGCTCAGGCTTTATCATCATGTCCCTGGAGACGGTGGCTGTCATTGCTTTGCACAGGCTGCGCATGGTTTTGGGGCAGCAGCCCAACCGCACCGCCTCCTTCCCTTGCACGCTGGCCCTCACCGCCCTGCTGTGGACATCCAGCTTCACCATGGCCGCCCTCCTCACAATGCGGGCGTACCCACGCAGAGACGGACCCTGCTTGCCCCACTTTGGCCTCGGAGGTGGACGAGCCAGGGTTGTGTTGTACGTCTACCTGGCAGACTTTGCCTTTTGTGTAGCTGTCGTGTCGGTGTCCTACCTGATGATTGCTCAGACACTAAGGAAGAACGCACAAGTGAGGAAATGTCCTGTCATCACTGTAGATGCCACATGCCCTCCACCCCCACCGCCTCTCATTGCAGCAGGCTTTGAGAGCATGCAGTGTGCTGTTCAAGGCCCTTCTATGTACCGTAACCAAACTTACAACAAACTACAGAACGTCCAGACACACTCTTTCATCAACAATAACAGCCAGCCTCTGGTTCCTGGAGCCGCTCAAGGGGCCACCTGCTGTCAACTGGTGTCTACAGTGAACTTGGCCACAGCCAAAGACTCTAAGGCTGTTGTCACCTGTGTAGTTATTGTGTTCTCTGTGCTGCTTTGCTGCTTGCCGATGGGAGTTTCACTGGCACAGGACGTTTTGTCACCAGAGAGTAACTTTGCACATTACCAGTTTGAACTGTGTGGCTTTGTGCTTATTTTCCTCAAATCGGGAATCAATCCCTTTGTATACTCGCGCAACAGTGCAGGCCTCCGCCGCCGCGTGCTGTGCTGTATTCAGTGGGCGGCACTGGGCTTTCTCTGTTGCAAGCAAAAGACTCGTCTGCATGCGATGGGGAAGGGCACCCTGGAAGCCAATCGCAATAAATCCTCGCATCATGAGACCAACTCAGCCTATGTTCTGTCGCCCAAGCCACAGAGGAGGCTGGTGGACCAGGCTTGTGGGCCGAGTCACTCCAGGGACTGTGCTGGAAGTCCAAGGGCCACAGGTGCGCGCAAACCTCGCCCGCCAAGTACCTCGACACCCATCAACACCCGCATTGAGCCCTACTACAGCATATACAACAGCAGTCCTTCTGCAGGGCCCAGCTCCCCCACCAGCCTGCAGCCTGTCAGCTCTCAGACATTTGCCTTTGCCAAGTCCTATGTAGCCATGCACTACCACACTCACCAAGACGCACTGCAAGACTTTGAAAGCACCTCAGTGCACCAGATTCCCATTCCCTCAGTATAATCAAAGAGCTGCTTAACAGAAAGGTTTGGACAATCAAGCCATGGCTTTAAATCAAGAGGAACTTTAAAAACGCCCATTTTAAGTATTTGGAATCAGTATTTACCTTCTTTTCTCCTCTGCAGTGGAAATACATGTTTCTTGAGTGGACAAAGTCAATTAGTGTTATTAGCATTTCAACGAAACTCAGAACAAGCAATAGATTTGTAATGAAAGTCTGTTCCAAAAAGAAACTCATTGTTGTTTTACTGATACTGCATTTTCACCTAAATCCCCCCCTCTGTGTTGCACACGCATGTGCCATTATAAGCCGATACTCTGCAGGTGTCATGGCAGCCAAAGACTGCAGTTGCTCCATTACTGCTGTGTCCTCTCTGGCTGAAATTGCTGCTGTGGTGTCGGGCTGCTGTGGAACACATGGCTGTTGATGGCATGTGGTCGCACTTTGATGACTTCTGCTTCTTGAGAGAATTGTATTTGTGAACCTCATACACTTTTTAACACAATAAATGTTTGGCAAGTGCAGTGGATCTGTGCTTTCACTTTTTAAATACAATTAAAATATGAAGCGATTAGTTGATCAACAGAAGGCAAATTAAACTCACTTCACTGCATGATGGGATACAATTTCCTTATGGAATATTGAAATACCTTATTGAATTGATACCAATAGCAATTCCAAAAGTACAGTAAGTACACCATAATATAGGTTTCTATTAAGCAAAAGTGTAAGTTCCCTTAAGAAATGTAATTGATGAACCCTCATGACATGATTATTTTAATCTGAGTGCGTTGGTATAATAATTGAGCCTGTCTATTTAAAAAAATGCAGTCATGCATTAATAAATATGTAATTTAATAAACATTGCAGCATGGCTTTTCTGTTCTCAAAAGTATAGTTATTTCTAAAAGACAAACATTTTATTATTTAACATCAGTTTATGTTCCACACAATTAATGAAAAACATGAGAAACACTAAAAATGATTTTGCAAACTTTAGGCAATGACAGCCCTATTACTGTTAGGTGGATACATGTATTGCTATGATTTCCTTATATCTTTTTTTAAACGTTTTTATTCTGTGTGGTAATTCAACAGTATATATATTTTAGGTTTTCATGGTTCCTTTTTATTCTTTGCTGGAAAAGTATTGATTTGTACCCCTTCGATACAGCAGGGTGAAGGATCTTCATAAAACCACAGAATACCTGTTACAGGAACCCACAGATGTTCTGTACATTCAAAACAACCTTAAAGAATATTTGAATCAACCAATCACTTGTGTTGGCATTCCACAGCACGCTCTGAAGCATAAGTTACACTCAGTCATACAGTAAATTAACACAATGCACATTCTCACTGATGCAAAACACTTGCTTTTCACCCTATCTACAAAGTACAAAGTGCCACAAACAAGCAGCTAATCAATTTCACATCACACTCACAAATAAACCTTAAAGACAATTACACCACCATGAATATTGTGATTCCCCTGATGATTGTGAATCCCCTGATTCATCACTCCTTTGCTTGCAATTAATCAACAAAGTGAAGCATAGATATGGAGTACAGGCAATGAATGCGCTGCCCTGTGGACTGAGGCGCCGGCCGCTGTGTTTTCAAAAAGTCTGAGCTAGCCTGCTGATTTAAGGCTGTGATGTAGCATTGTCAGTGTCTGTGCTCCTCAGCTACATTAAGTCCAGCCTCAGGATCAAGTTTAACCTTAGGCTTTGAGCGCAGTGTCATGGGCATCTCCCTTCCTCAAACGAAACAG